TTGTGTGAGCAGTCCATGTCAAATCCTCAACGATGTGGAGTCCAAGAAACTTGAAAGTGCTGACTCTCTCTACTGGTGTCTCGTTGATGGCGATAAGAGTGTGTGCTTTCTTCTATCTCCTGAAATCCACCACCAGCTTCTTGGTTTTGCTGGTATTGAGCGAGAGGTGGTTTTCCTGACACCTCTGCGTCAGAGTGTGCACCTCCTCTCTGTAGGTCGTCTCATCATTATTGGCGGTAAGGCCCACCACCAAAGAAAAAGAAAAGAAAGAAAAAAAACACAGAGAAGAGGGTACATAATTATCAAATTACATACAAATAGATTACGCACAATTTACCAACTTTAGTTATTAACAAGAGTTATTAAATGCATTTTTACAGCTGCATGTGTTCAAAGTGTTCACATATTTTAAGCGTACATCATTTTTAAAGACAAAAAACGTTGCAGGTGTTACTTTTCTAATCACTGTTTTGTGCATGTGAGTGAGTGCTTGTGTTGAAGTAACCGTCACTAAGACCGTGAGGGTCGGAAGTGACTACAGCTCCTTCTGCAGTTGGGAAGTTAAGGCTATACTTTCAGGGATCATTTCTATAGTTCTTAACTAGGAAATGTGTTTCTAAAGTGATGAGTCTCCCAAACCACGATGATGATTCTTGATACTCTTTTCTTAGCATGAATCAGATGCAGAGAGATGATTCAATTCATGTGCTCTGGATCATTGATGAATGTTCCTCGTTGTGTCTCACAACAGAGGAGGAAAAGAGTATGAGCAGAGTGGCTCAAGATAAAATTGTTAATATCAGACTGAATCATCTAAGAATGCTCTTCAATAAGTCTTGTCGACGGTGCCAGCAAGGCTGGATATCGTGTTGCTTGAGAAAGCATGATCTATGTTGAATTTGAAAACTAAAGCTCTGCTGTTCTTGACAAAGGAACTGCGATGTAGGTGTAGATTTTAACAACGTGCATCTAGATTGTGTATGCCAAAAATGTTACTGCATAGAGTAAAAATAAACTTAAGTCTACGATTTAACCACTAGAATGTTAATCCAAGAATATTTACTGAAGGAAAATCTATTGGTAGAAAACGAACCAAAAGTTGAGATTAATATGACGTGAATAAAAGCAGCAAAGGGAAAATAGAAATACATATTTCGTGGAAACCACATCCTAAAGAAATATCACATTAAACAAAACATTATTATTATGGTAGTGATGGGTGAAAATAGCCTTTCAAAGCTTCGAAACAAACCCATGAGCTATCTGCACAGCTAGTATTCTTCAGCATATGATAAACTTTCGGTAAAAGTGGTCCGATCACACCGAACGCCATTTTACATTCCAAAATCGAACCACGCTGCCTTTTTTTTTTTTTTTTTTTTGTCGTTGGCAGAAAAAAAGTGTGGTACTGACAAAAGTGGCAACTGTAACACATCTTCAAAATCTTCCAAAAGTCGAGAACCTAAATGTCGCTTTTAGAAATACTGAACACTATATATTAAATCCAATAACAATTGCTTTGTTTTTTCAAAATCCTCCGATATGTCATGCTAACTTGTGAGGATTTAACTGCCATCATTTGTGTGGAAATGATAAAGCATGTATAAAAATGCTAACAAAAATAAGCAATTTTACGTTTTTACTATTATTATTATTTTTTTTTTACTAAGAAGAACCAGCATGTACACTTTTCTTATACAACTAAATTACTTGACATTTCTTAACAACAATGGAATAAATAAGTAAAACAAATAAAGAAAAATAAATCAAATCACATTTATTGTCACATCATCAGCAGCACGTGTGCTATGATGAATAAAAGCTTAGCTGCTGGCTCGAGACAGAGCAAAATACAAATAGAGCAACACAGAGACAGTGCAGAATACAACAACATACAACAGCACACTTCCAAAAAACAGGACAATGTAAAATTGGCAGTGTTGACAGCGATATGTACAACGAATAGGTGTACCCATAGCTGAAGACAGTATTGTTTCAAGTATGGATTGGTTAAAGTGTAGTGCATGCTACATATTGATGGTGTGCACTGAGGGGTATGGAAGAGTCTGTGTGAGGTGTGTTAAGTGTTCAACGGCCTTATGGTCTGAGGGAAGAAGCCTTCCTTCAGTCGGCTGGTGCGTGACCGGATTCTGCGGAACCGTCTGCCTGAAGGCAGCAGAGAGAAAAGTCTATGGCTTGGGTGGATAGAGTCGCTGATGATTCTCTTGGCTTTCCTCATGCACTGCGTGGTGTAGATGTTCTGGAGGGAGGGAGGGAGGCTCAACTCCTACTACGCATCCAGCAGTTCGCACAATCCAATGCAGGCCTTTGCGATTGCCGCTGGTGCTGTTAACATACCAGGTGGTGATACAGCTAGTCAGGATGCTCTCCACAATCCAGGTGTAGAACGTGCGGAGAATATGGGGGCTCATTCCAAATCTCTTGAAACGCCCGAGGAAGAAGAGGCGTTGTTGTGCCTTTCTCAGCACGGAGTTTGTGTGAGCAGTCCATGTCAAATCCTCAGCGATGTGGATTCCAAGAAACTTGAAAGTGCTGACTCTCTCTACTGGCGTCCCGTTGATGGCGATATGAGTGTGTGCTTTCTTCTATCTCCTGAAATACACCACCAGCTTCTTGGTTTTGCTGGTGTTGAGCGAGAGGTGGTTTTCCTGACACCGCTGCGTCAGAGTGTGCACCTCCTCTCTGTAGGTCGTCTCATCAATATTGGCGGTAAGGCCCACCACCAAAGAAAAAGAAAAGAAAGAAAAAAAACACAGAGAAGAGGGTACATAATTATCAAATTACATACAAATAGATTAGGCACAATTTACCAACTTTAGTTATTAACAAGAGTTATTAAATGCATTTTTACAGCTGCATGTGTTCAAAGTGTTCACATATTTTAAGCGTACATCATTTTTAAAGACAAAAAACGTTGCAGGTGTTACTTTTCTAATCACTGTTTCGTGCATGTGAGTGAGTGCTTGTGTTGAAGTAACCGTCACTAAGACCGTGAGGGTCGGAAGCGACTCCAGCTCCTTCTGCAGTTGGGAAGTTAAGACTATACTTTCAGGGATCATTTCTATAGTTCTTAACTAGGAAATGTGTTTCTAAAGTGATGAGTCTCCCAAACCACGATGATGATTCTTGATGCTCTTTTCTTAGCGTGAATCAGATGCAGAGAGATGATTCAATTCATGTGCTCTGGATCATTGATGAATGTTCCTCGTTGTGTCTCACAACAGAGGAGGAAAAGAGTATGAGCAGAGTGGCTCAAGATAAAATTGTTAATATCAGACTGAATCATCTAAGAATGCTCTTCAATAGGTCTTGTCGACGGTGCTAGCAAGGCTGGATATCGTATTGCTTGAGAAAGCATGATCTATATTGAATTTGATAACTAAAGCTCTGCTGTTCTTGACAAAGGAACTGCGATGTAGGTGTAGATTTTAACAACGTGCATCTAGATTGTGTATGCCAAAAATGTTACTGCATAGAGTAAAAATAAACTTAAGTCTACGATTCAACCACTAGAATGTTAATCCAAGAATATTTACTGAAGGAAAATCTATTGGTAGAAAACGAACCAAAAGTTGAGATTAATATGACGTGAATAAAAGCAGCAAAGGGAAAATAGAAATACATATTTCGTGGAAACCACATCCTAAAGAAATATCACATTAAACAAAACATTATTATTATGGTAGTGATGGGTGAAAATAGCCTTTCAAAGCTTCGAAACAAACCCATGAGCTATCTGCACAGCTAGTATTCTTCAGCATATGATAAACTTTCGGTAAAAGTGGTCCGATCACACCGAACGCCATTTTACATTCCAAAATCGCACCACGCTGCCTTTTTTTTTTTTTTTTTTTGTTGTTGGCAGAAAAAAAGTGTGGTACTGACAAAAGTGGCAACTGTAACACATCTTCAAAATCTTCCAAAAGTCGAGAACCTAAATGTCGCTTTTAGAAAAACTGAACACTATATATTAAATCCAATAACAATTGCTTTGTTTTTTCAAAATCCTCCGATATGTCATGCTAACTTGTTGTGAGGATTTAACTGCCATCATTTGTGTGGAAATGATAAAGCATGTATAAAAATGCTAACAAAAATAAGCAATTTTACGTTTTTACTATTATTATTATTATTTTTTTTTACTAAGAAGAACCAGCATGTACACTTTTCTTATGCAACTAAATTACTTGACATTTCTTAACAACAATGGAATAAATAAGTAAAACAAATAAAGAAAAATAAATCAAATCACATTTATTGTCACATCATCAGCAGCACGTGTGCTATGATGAATAAAAGCTTAGCTGCTGGCTCGAGACAGAGCAAAATACAAATAGAGCAACACAGAGACAGTGCAGAATACAACAACATACAACAGCACACTTCCAAAAAACAGGACAATGTAAAATTGGCAGTGTTGACAGCGATATGTACAATGAATAGGTGTACCCATAGCTGAAGACAGTATTGTTTCAAGTATGGATTGGTTAAAGTGCAGTGCATGCTACATATTGATGGTGTGCACTGAGGGGTATGGAAGAGTCTGTGTGAGGTGTGTTAAGTGTTCAACGGCCTTATGGTCTGAGGGAAGAAGCCTTCCTTCAGTCGGCTGGTGCGTGACCGGATTCTGCGGAACCGTCTGCCTGAAGGCAAGAAGAGAGAAAAGTCTATGGCTTGGGTGGATAGAGTCGTTGATGATTCTCTTGGCTTTCCTCATGCACTGCGTGGTGTAGATGTTCTGGAGGGAGGGAGGCTCAACTCCTACTACGCATCCAGCAGTTCGCACAATCCAATGCAGGCCTTTGCGATTGCCGCTGGTGCTGTTACCATACCAGGTGGTGATACAGCCAGTCAGGATGCTCTCCACAATCCAGGTGTAGAACGTGCGGAGAATATGGGGGCTCATTCCAAATCTCTTGAAACGCCCGAGGAAGAAGAGGCGTTGTTGTGCCTTTCTCAGCACGAAGTTTGTGTGAGCAGTCCATGTCAAATCCTCAGCGATGTGGAGTCCAAGAAACTTGAAAGTGCTGACTCTCTCTACTGGCGTCCCGTTGATGGCGATAAGAGTGTGTGCTTTCTTCTATCTCCTGAAATCCACCACCAGCTTCTTGGTTTTGCTGGTGTTGAGCGAGAGGTGGTTTTCCGAGAAGGGTATTCCTGCACAACTGGAGTGGCTGCACTCTCAGGACCGCATTTTTAGGACCGCATCTTTAGGACCCTAGTTTTTTGTGACAGCGTCACCTGTCGGATTGGATCATGGATGCGCTAATGGACGACACGGATGACAAGGAAAGTGTAAGTACCGATTTTTCTATTAAGTTTTATTTTAAACTGTTAAAGTATGTGTTTATTTTGTAATGCTGCTGTTTTATACAGTGAGTTTATGCAGAAATGCCAGATTAGCCTGCATGATTAACCCCACTTTTAAGGGTCTGGGACAAAAATGTTACGTGATGATATTTTTTCCAGAAGAAGAATAAAATATTATAATAATAATTATGGATAATTTTACACAGCCAGAGTGAGAGCTGTTATAACTGTTAATAATTTTCTAGAGTTCGTTTTCTAGTTTGATTAAATGCTACGACGTTCGTAGCTCGTGACCATGGTTTAATGAAACATTGTTGATTTAATGGCTTGTTGACTTAACGGCTAATGTGCTTAGTGACATGTATTAAACTAAGATGGTAAAAGCACGTTTGATGTAAGAGTTTTAGATTTATCTATATTTTACTGAATTCGTGTTATTCGTTGTATTACATTAGCACATTAAAAATTGTGCTGACTGCCTGTTTGCCCCACAATACTGTATGTGTTATTAGCCTGATGTTTTGTCATCGTTTTACAGTGATGAATGAGATTCTGAAAGTTAGGATTATTCTGCAGGTCTTAACCATATAAAGTCTCATATCTTTAATTTATATCAGGTATGTTTTACCTGGCGAATAAGAAGTTATGGCCAATATGATTGGATTGCTTAGGCTCATTGTAGGAGGAAAAGAAAACAAACTACAGGATGATTTTCATTGAGGTTATCTCAAACTGTTGAGTAACACTTTATAACATCTGCATACTATAAATAAATAATTATTAAGCATTTAATAACTAGTTAATTTATTAATATTTTATTTGTTTAGCATTAACTCTACATTAAATAGACATTGATAAGCAGTTTATAAAAACAGTTACAAATGCTAGCTGTGTTCTTGAGTTTATAGCATATCTATGAAGAAGTGCAGCTTATCTGTGGTGTTCATTTTCCAGAGGAATGTCTGGCCAAATAAGTATATAAACTGCACGCTGGGTGCTACTCATTTATGAATCCATGTAAAATGATTTGCTGTTCTGTGGTGGTATTTTAGTTCATATTTAAATGATTTTTTTTTTCATAGGCCATCGTACATCCTCTGGGTGTCTTGAGGAGCTGGTCTTTGGATAATGCTGAGCAGGTCTTTCTTTCTGGTAAAGATTATTATTACAGGTCAGAATATGGTTAATTTTGGCACAATGCTCAAAGAGCCTTTTTGTTACTGGTATATATGTTAACTCAACAGTGATTGTTCTCTATTTCAGTGAAGTAAAAGAATTTAACAGACAGATTTACAAACAACTGACGAAAGAAGGGAGACCATTCAATAGGTGGGTATTGCTCTTATAAACTTAAAAATATGGAGTTGGGAGTAAAGTTTCCTGTTTGGTTCTCCCAACAGTGCATACGCTTAAGCCAGATATAAATATATATATATATATATATATATATATATATATATATATATATATATATATATATATATATATATATATATATAAATATATATTATAGCTTACACTGTAAAGCAAATGTTTGTTATTTTACCTCTTATATTAAATATTAATCTGAATTTTATTTCATAACAATTGATTAACCTTTTGAGTTCATATACATTGTTTTACATATTCAAGAATATATATATTCATTCATTTTCTTTTTCGGCTTAGTCCCTTTATTTATCAGGGGTTGCCACAGCAGAAGGAACTGCCAACTTATCCAGCATATGTTTTACACAGCGGATGCCCTTCCAGCTGCAACCCAGTACTGGGAAACACCCATTTACACTCATACACTTGAACATGGGGAGAACATGCAAACTCCACACAGAAAAGACCACTGGCCCAGCCGGGGCTTGAACCAGCAACCTTCTTGCTGTGAAGCGACGGTGCTAACCACTGTGCTCTATGCGGGTGAGTGGGATTGACAAACCACTTGGAGGGAACACTCTTGCTGTCTTAACCAGACATTTTGTTATAAATAATCATGTGCGTTTCATGTTTATTCATATAACTGCTATTTTATCTCTTAGCACTTCATTTTTGTCTTGATATTTAATATCTCTTGTTTAAATACACTATGAACAGCAGCTGCGCTAATTATTTTCCTTGTTCCCTATTTCCACCTGGGGATATTCATCCAGAGGCCTCTAGAGATCGTAACCTGTGAAGAGATGATGCCACCATAGAGGACTTCTAAATGTATCCATAATCCTGAAACAGACCGTATCATGAGCAGATGCTGTGGTGGTCATGGAGAAGTGGAGAGCATGAGACTGATTAATGAAAGACCCCAGTGACAGATGAGTGCCCACATTGACCCTGTGGTCCAGCCTGAAAACCAGCTGGTGACCTACTCACACCTGCAGCTTCTCTACGATGGACGCCCAGTGTTTGCCTCCAGCGCCTAGACTGCAGCTCTGCATGTGAAGTGTGGCCAGAAGAGAAATGGTTGTTCCCAACTGAGTCTAGTTTCTCTCAAGGTTTATTCCTTCCCTTTCATCAATTGGTAAAGTTTTGTTCCTCCACTGTTGCCATTGGCTTGCTTGGTTTAGGACTTGTGGAACTGTGCATCGATGGATTTGCTTTTTTTTAGTGTTTGGATTTTCAGCAGTGAATACTAAACCACACTAAACTGATTTTCCTGACACCGCTGCGTCAGAGTGTGCACCTCCTCTCTGTAGGTCGTCTCATCATTATTGGCGGTGAGGCCCACCACCAAAGAAAAAGAAAAGAAAGAAAAAAAACACAGAGAAGAGGGTACATAATTATCAAATTACATACAAATAGATTACGCACAATTTACCAACTTTAGTTATTAACAAGAGTTATTAAATGCATTTTTACAGCTGCATGTGTTCAAAGTGTTCACATATTTTAAGCGTACATCATTTTTAAAGACAAAAAACGTTGCAGGTGTTACTTTTCTAATCACTGTTTCGTGCATGTGAGTGAGTGCTTGTGTTGAAGTAACCGTCACTAAGACCGTGAGGGTCGGAAGCGACTCCAGCTCCTTCTGCAGTTGGGAAGTTAAGACTATACTTTCAGGGATCATTTCTATAGTTCTTAACTAGGAAATGTGTTTCTAAAGTGATGAGTCTCCCAAACCACGATGATGATTCTTGATGCTCTTTTCTTAGCGTGAATCAGATGCAGAGAGATGATTCAATTCATGTGCTCTGGATCATTGATGAATGTTCCTCGTTGTGTCTCACAACAGAGGAGGAAAAGAGTATGAGCAGAGTGGCTCAAGATAAAATTATTAATATCAGACTGAATCATCTAAGAATGCTCTTCAATAGGTCTTGTCGACGGTGCTAGCAAGGCTGGATATCGTATTGCTTGAGAAAGCATGATCTATATTGAATTTGATAACTAAAGCTCTGCTGTTCTTGACAAAGGAACTGTGATGTAGGTGTAGATTTTAACAACGTGCATCTAGATTGTGTATGCCAAAAATGTTACTGCATAGAGTTAAACTAAACTTAAGTCTACGATTCAACCACTAGAATGTTAATCCAAGAATATTTACTGAAGGAAAATCTATTGGTAGAAAACGAACCAAAAGTTGAGATTAATATGACGTGAATAAAAGCAGCAAAGGGAAAATAGAAATACATATTTCGTGGAAACCACATCCTAAAGAAATATCACATTAAACAAAACATTATTATTATGGTAGTGATGGGTGAAAATAGCCTTTCAAAGCTTCGAAACAAACCCATGAGCTATCTGCACAGCTAGTATTCTTCAGCATATGATAAACTTTCGGTAAAAGTGGTCCGATCACACCGAACGCCATTTTACATTCCAAAATCGCACCACGCTGCCTTTTTTTTTTTTTTTTTTTTTGTCGTTGGCAGAAAAAAAGTGTGGTACTGACAAAAGTGGTAACTGTAACACATCTTCAAAATCTTCCAAAAGTCGAGAACCTAAATGTCGCTTTTAGAAAAACTGAACACTATATATTAAATCCAATAACAATTGCTTTGTTTTTTCAAAATCCTCCGATATGTCATGCTAACTTGTTGTGAGGATTTAACTGCCATCATTTGTGTGGAAATGATAAAGCATGTATAAAAATGCTAACAAAAATAAGCAATTTTACGTTTTTACTATTATTATTTTTTTTTTTTTACTAAGAAGAACCAGCATGTACACTTTTCTTATACAACTAAATTACTTGACATTTCTTAACAACAATGGAATAAATAAGTAAAACAAATAAAGAAAAATAAATCAAATCACATTTATTGTCACATCATCAGCAGCACGTGTGCTATGATGAATAAAAGCTTAGCTGCTGGCTCGAGACAGAGCAAAATACAAATAGAGCAACACAGAGACAGTGCAGAATACAACAACATACAACAGCACACTTCCAAAAAACAGGACAATGTAAAATTGGCAGTGTTGACAGCGATATGTACAATGAATAGGTGTACCCATAGCTGAAGACAGTATTGTTTCAAGTATGGATTGGTTAAAGTGCAGTGCATGCTACATATTGATGGTGTGCACTGAGGGGTATGGAAGAGTCTGTGTGAGGTGTGTTAAGTGTTCAACGGCCTTATGGTCTGAGGGAAGAAGCCTTCCTTCAGTCGGCTGGTGCGTGACCGGATTCTGCGGAACCGTCTGCCTGAAGGCAAGAAGAGAGAAAAGTCTATGGCTTGGGTGGATAGAGTCGTTGATGATTCTCTTGGCTTTCCTCATGCACTGCGTGGTGTAGATGTTCTGGAGGGAGGGAGGCTCAACTCCTACTACGCATCCAGCAGTTCGCACAATCCAATGCAGGCCTTTGCGATTGCCGCTGGTGCTGTTACCATACCAGGTGGTGATACAGCCAGTCAGGATGCTCTCCACAATCCAGGTGTAGAACGTGCGGAGAATATGGGGGCTCATTCCAAATCTCTTGAAACGCCCGAGGAAGAAGAGACGTTGTTGTGCCTTTCTCAGCACGGAGTTTGTGTGAGCAGTCCATGTCAAATCCTCAACGATGTGGAGTCCAAGAAACTTGAAAGTGCTGACTCTCTCTACTGGCGTCCCGTCGATGGCGATAAGAGTGTGTGCTTTCTTCTATCTCCTGAAATCCACCACCAGCTTCTTGGTTTTGCTGGTGTTGAGTGAGAGGTGGTTTTCCTGACACCGCTGCGTCAGAGTGTGCACCTCCTCTCTGTAGGTCGTCTCATCATTATTGGCGGTAAGGCCCACCACCAAAGAAAAAGAAAAGAAAGAAAAAAAACACAGAGAAGAGGGTACATAATTATCAAATTACATACAAATAGATTACGCACAATTTACCAACTTTAGTTATTAACAAGAGTTATTAAATGCATTTTTACAGCTGCATGTGTTCAAAGTGTTCACATATTTTAAGCGTACATCATTTTTAAAGACAAAAAACGTTGCAGGTGTTACTTTTCTAATCACTGTTTCGTGCATGTGAGTGAGTGCTTGTGTTGAAGTAACCGTCACTAAGACCGTGAGGGTCGGAAGTGACTCCAGCTCCTTCTGCAGTTGGGAAGTTAAGACTATACTTTCAGGGATCATTTCTATAGTTCTTAACTAGGAAATGTGTTTCTAAAGTGATGAGTCTCCCAAACCACGATGATGATTCTTGATACTCTTTTCTTAGCGTGAATCAGATGCAGAGAGGTGATTCAATTCATGTGTTCTGGATCATTGATGAATGTTCCTCGTTGTGTCTCACAACAGAGGAGGAAAAGAGTATGAGCAGAGTGGCTCAAGATAAAATTGTTAATATCAGACTGAATCATCTAAGAATGCTCTTCAATAAGTCTTGTCGACAGTGCTAGCAAGGCTGGATATCGTGTTGCTTGAGAAAGCATGATCTATGTTGAATTTGACAACTAAAGCTCTGCTGTTCTTGACAAAGGAACTGCGATGTAGGTGTAAATTTTAACAACGTGCATCTAGATTGTGTATGCCAAAAATGTTACTGCATAGAGTAAAAATAAACTTAAGTCTACGATTTAACCACTAGAATGTTAATCCAAGAATGTTTACTGAAGGAAAATCTATTGGTAGAAAACGAACCAAAAGTTGAGATTAATATGACGTGAATAAAAGCAGCAAAGGGAAAATAGAAATACATATTTCATGGAAACCACATCCTAAAGAAATATCACATTAAACAAAACATTATTATTATGGTAGTGATGGGTGAAAATAGCCTTTCAAAGCTTCGAAACAAACCCATGAGCTGTCTGCACAGCTAGTATTCTTCAGCATATGATAAACTTTCGGTAAAAGTGGTCCGATCACACCGAACGCGATTTTACATTCCAAAATCGCACCACGCTGCCTTTTTTTTTTTTTTTTTTTTGTCGTTGGCAGAAAAAAAGTGTGGTACTGACAAAAGTGGCAACTGTAACACATCTTCAAAATCTTCCAAAAGTCGAGAACCTAAATGTCGCTTTTAGAAAAACTGAACACTATATATTAAATCCAATAACAATTGCTTTGTTTTTTCAAAATCCTCCGATATGTCATGCTAACTTGTTGTGAGGATTTAACTGCCATCATTTGTGTGGAAATGATAAAGCATGTATAAAAATGCTAACAAAAATAAGCAATTTTACGTTTTTACTATTATTATTATTTTTTTTTTTACTAAGAAGAACCAGCATGTACACTTTTCTTATACAACTAAATTACTTGACATTTCTTAACAACAATGGAATAAATAAGTAAAACAAATAAAGAAAAATAAATCATCACATTTATTGTCACATCATCAGCAGCACGTGTGCTATGATGAATAAAAGCTTAGCTGCTGGCTAGAGACAGAGCAAAATACAAATAGAGCAACACAGAGACAGTGCAGAATACAACAACATACAACAGCACACTTCCAAAAAACAGGACAATGTAAAATTGGCAGTGTTGACAGCGATATGTACAATGAATAGGTGTACCCATAGCTGAAGACAGTATTGTTTCAAGTATGGATTGGTTAAAGTGTAGTGCATGCTACATATTGATGGTGTGCACTGAGGGGTATGGAAGAGTTTGTGTGAGGTGTGTTAAGTGTTCAACGGCCTTATGGTCTGAGGGAAGAAGCCTTCCTTCAGTCGGCTGGTGCGTGACCGGATTCTGCGGAACCGTCTGCCTGAAGGCAGCAGAGAGAAAAGTCTATGGCTTGGGTGGATAGAGTCGCTGATGATTCTCTTGGCTTTCCTCATGCACTGCGTGGTGTAGATGTTCTGGAGGGATGGAGGGAGGCTCAACTCCTACTACACATCCAGCAGTTCGCACAATCCAATGCAGGCCTTTGCGATTGCCGCTGGTGCTGTTACCATACCAGGTGGTGATACAGCCAGTCAGGATGCTCTCCACAATCCAGGTGTAGAACGTGCGGAGAATATGGGGGCTCATTCCAAATCTCTTGAAACGCCCGAGGAAGAAGAGGCGTTGTTGTGCCTTTCTCAGCACGGAGTT